CCACTAGAAGGCAAGCCTGCGACCTTTAGCCGAAAAAGCGTAATGGCTAATGCTAATGCTAACGCTTCTGGTCTGGCAGTACGTGGGAAAGGAGACCAGAGGCCACTTTCTTTTGAATGGATGTCAATGGAGGAGAGGCTTCACTACACTGAATAAACAGCTTTTTAGAGGAAACAGCTTATCATTTAATGAATCAACAGCCTATCTGCTAATCTTCAACATGTTTTACACTAAACAGTACATTTGGATTGAACTATTTTTAGAGTTTACATCGAAAAAATGCCATTTCAGTCACAGATTTTTTGCGACAGGTGGGATTCAGCTTGCGGCACTTCTCTTTCATTCCTATGGTATCCGTAAACGGCAATTGAGTGACGCACAACTCTGACTGAAATTCAATGATGTCAAAGCTGTAATATGATTGGTTTTTAAGGCACATGTGATCCAAGTTGACCGTTACGCTTTCTCCAGTAGTAAGTAATACAGACCCTCTCATTTCCCAATAGTAAGACAATCTCTGGTCCAAACCTTGATGCATCAGAATAGTTTTGGCAGCATGAAGGGGAACCTACAAAATGCTGATTTTGTTTGAAAGATTAAATGCAAATTTGTGAAAACGGTGCTGTCATGTGTATGCATCTTACTTGTTCATTCTTGAGCGCAGGCACGTAGTGTTTCTTTACAACATCACATCGCCAACTACTGGTCTGGCATTCATATTACAGCATTTTAGTAATTTTCGCAGATCTGTGTGAATGGGGATCGTTTTGACAATGTTGTTGTCTGTACGTGAAACTTTTCAAAAATGCAATCAGTTTTTAAAGGGGTCATATGATGCTGCTAAAAAGAACATTATTTTGTATATTTGGTGTAATGAAATGTGTTTATGCTGTTTAAAGTTAAAAAACGCATTATTTTCCACATACTGTACATTATTGTTTCTCCTCTATGCCCCGCCTTTTTGAAACGCGTCGATTTTTACAAAGCTCATCGGTCTAAAAAAGCGAGGTGTGCTGTGATTGGCCAGCTATCCAATGCGTTGTGATTGGCCGAATACCTCAAGCGTGAGACGGAAATGTTACGCCCCTCATCACCATACCATACTGTGATGGCGTGTCCCAGCCGGAACGACGAGACAAAAACATTAAAACCCATTACAAACGAGGCATTTGTTGCATCCAGTGGGGACATAATTACTGATTATAATGACTTATATTGTCTTTTTACGTGTTGCGTTGCATTGCATCGCGCCGCGTAAACATAAAACTCTGTCTGCATTTGTGATCAGAGAAATGACAAACAACAAGTGCTACTCTACTGCCCAAAACTCGCGTTTGAATCATCAGTGGCAAATCCTTTAAATGAAAACATACTTACGTGAGTCAGAACTGCCGGCATTGTAGTCTAACGTTACTCTCCCAGGATCAGTAAACAGTCCTCCATAAAATGTGCTGCACACATCTGGATATTTGTGTTAAACTGTTCCTACGCCTTCTTTCTTTGCGTGAACATTTGGGCGGCGTTATGCAAATCTTCCCACATAGTGAGGTAGATATGTGGGGACGTGTTAGAACGAGCTGTTTTAGGTAGGTGTGGCTGACTCTTAACTTTTATAAAGAATATCTCTTTGGATTTGAGACTTTAGTCTTTGCAACTTTACAGATCTTCTTTATGCACCAAGAGCTTGTAACACTCCAAAGAGAAAGGAAAAATTGAAATCGCACCATATGACCCCTTTAATACATCTTTGTCATGTAAACGTCATGTCCAGTGGTTACAAACTATAATTTGAAGAATCCGTAATGAGGCTTGCATAGGGTGTGTGAATGTTCTAAAGTAAGTCAAGAACGGGCTGGTTACATAAGTATAGTTAATCATCCCTCGGCAGGAGTGAGTGGCAACGCAGTAAGAGGCCATGCTTTGAGGGGGTGATGGTGTGGTCGCACCTACTCTTCCTTTCTGTTCATCTGCTCTCTCCATTCTGGCTCAGGCCTGGTGCCACAGACCTGCCGAGTGACAAACTTAACAAAGACCACAATAGAAACAATTAGTCACAGAGCAAGAACAGACAGAGATCATGGCTTGTGAAGCACGTTGTTTGAGTTCATTTGGGAGCATGATGGAGAAAAAAAGCATCTGCAGAGTAATACAGCCCATTTACAGGCATAAACCAGTGTGATTTTTCTTTTTTCATGGCACTCAAAAGTTATTTCCATGTAATGAATATTGCACTATATTCCAAGTCTATGTCATTTACTTTATATAGAAACAGATTATTTTTCTTGACTTCATGCCATCACCTGGACTTTACTGGTCTGTTACTTCCTTGAAATCAGGAGCAATCTAGTATCAGTGTTTTTAATGCATATTGTTCTACTTTTTTGAGTTTTTCCATTTAGAAATTGCTAGTCAGTTTCACAAAGAATTACAAAGCAATGACAATTAACACTTATTAAACACGTTTAATTCAATAATTAAACATCACATTTTGAAATAGAGAGACTGAAATAGCATGAAACATACTCCAGTAATCTTTGCTTTACTTAAAACTTGGCTAAATAATTTTTACAGTGTATAGAGACCAGACTTTGTGCCGTCGGTCAAAGGTGTGGCTATGTGAGACTATCCAATACCTACCATCTTGTGGAATATTTTCCTTGCCACAGCCACCTTAGTCTTGCCTATTATTATTATAGCTCAAAAAAGCTTGATTGTGGTTCAAGAAGTAGAAGTGCTCAACCGTGCAAATGTCAGAAACATAGAGAGCTCTGCACTGTTTCTGTCTTTCAGTGACCAAACAATTGCATAATCTTGAGCAATCTTTTCATTTTCATTTGTTCATTTTCATGCAAAGATGTTAGAGCATTGTTTATTGAACAGCTGCTTTGCGTTGTCCTATGCATTTAGATATATTTCACAATAGTAATGTGAAACATTATGGGGGGAAAAAGTTGTTTCATGTTTTTTGTCTGTTGGAGCACTGCTGTGCACATGAAGATGGCATGTGACTCATAATTATCAGTAACGGTCCAATCACGCTGAGTAAGCCACTGAGAGAGCCAGCTGGAGAGGACAAGGCAGGACACAAGTGCTCATTGACTCAGAGAGGGTGTGTGCACTGGTGCATCTGTGTCTGTCTGTGTACATACAGTGCAGGAGGTGTTATTGAAGCAGTGAGCTTCTTATGCAAATGCATGATGCTTCTTTATATGAGATATGGCACGTGTGAGAACACATTTGGTGAATATCATGGTCCCCACCTATGCTCTTTATAACATCAATGCTCTAGTAAAAGTTAAGGTGATAGAATGAAGATCATGCTGTTTGAATTCACCCTTTGAAATTTCACAGGTTAGCGCTTCCTCATGGAGGGGTGTTTTTTTTATGCAGTATAACAATCTTCATTAAGCAGCAGGCCTATCTCTCATTCACAAATACCTGTGGTTGGTTGCATAAACTGCTTAGATTAGTCTTACAAGATAATCATTTTTTAAATTGGTTTTTAAGCGAGTTACATAAAATATAGTCTGGTCTAATTTGAATCCAAAAAGTACAAGTGATTACCTCTTGACTAACTGCTATTTGGTCAGACTAGTTCTTTAGACACAGTTTATTCTGTCATCAATTTGTTCTAAACCTGTATGAATGTCTGTTTTCTGTTGAGAAAAAGAAGATATTCTGAAGAATGTTGGTAACCTTACAGATGAAGATAGTCATTGACTTTAATAATAAGGGGGGGAAAGTCAATGGCTACTATTAAACTGTTTGGTTACCAAAATTCTTCAAAATATCTTCTTTTGCATTCAATAGAAGAAACTCATACAGGTTTGGAACATGTAGAGAGTAAATGATGACAGAATTAAATTTTTGGGGTGAACTATCCCTTTTAATTTAGTGACTGAATATGTAAATCTCACCGATGTCCTTCAGTTTGATGAGGTGCTGAGAACTTAATTTTGAGTCATTGATATTAGTGTCTAAGATGACAATGTGTGGAAATTTTTTGAGGTGCTTGATCACTCTGAATTGGTGCAATTGATTATATTTCTCTAGCTGATTTATGGGTAAAGAGAGACTTTAGGAGACTCTATTACTGTAGGATGAGCAGAATAACAATTTACACCGGTGACCGTTTGGGCTCTTGTTGTGTGTTGCTTTCTTGGGCAATCAATTCAACGTCAATGTCAAAGTTAATTTGATGACCGATTCTGACGTCAGCTGATGTTGATATTTGTTGTTTTTAGGTTGTGTAATCAAAATCCAACGTTAAGTCAATGTCAAATTGGTGTCAAATACTGACGTGAACCTTATTTTCATTCCCAACCAAAATGCAATGTCTGTCCAACATCATCCACCGTTAACCTGGCGTTATATTGACGGTGATGCTGGGGATGTATATGCACTTCATCGTTGCTGCATTTATTTGATCTAAAATACATTAAAAACACCAATATTGTGAATTATTACTACAATTGAAAATATCTGTTTTCTATTTGAATATGTAATTTATTCATGTGATGGAAAAACTGAAATGTAATATATGGGGGGTTAATATATATATATTTTTAACTCTTAAACTGACTTTGGTCAGTTTAATGCATCCTGAATAAAATGATGCTGAGAAAAAAATGCTGGTTCCACACTGTACAAACACACACACACACAAACTATTGTTATAAAGAAATATGAGTACACAGTTCACTTAATCTCTTGATACTGGGCCACTTTGGATCATTCTGTGTCTTTGCATCTTTCTAAAGATACAGCTCACGTGCGCACGCACTCTCTCTCTTTGTCTTTCTCACGACGTACCCACTCACTACCCACCCTCAGGTGAGAAAGCAGGGCTTTAATGCATCTCTCACTCACTTCTGTTTGTGTTCCCAGTCTTTAACTTCGTTTTCATTATAAACAAACAAGAACTTCGTTCAGGTGACGTTCACATCAGTTCAAGGAATGATATAACGTCTTCATTGCAAAGTTAATTGACTTTCACTGGAGCTGCAAGAAAGTTCATTTTTGTTTTTGGCGTCTCTTCTGCGCCGAGCAAGATTGCGCATAAATCGCAGCGCGAGGTGCGCCCGGTGCTGTCGAGACTGGGCGTCAGAGCGCGGGTGATCGCCACGGGCGTGCTGGGTGTTGTCATGGTGCTGGTGCTGGTCATTCTCATCCCGGTGCTGGTCAGCGCGGCGGGATCCGACCCGCGCTACGAGATGCTCGGCGCGTGCCGCATGGTGTGCGATCCCTACGGAACGAAGTCTCCATCATCAGCACCGACAGATAACCACTTGGTTCAGTCCCCACCAACTTTCATTCGCGGTCCGAAAGGAGAGGCAGGGCGCTCGGGACGGATCGGTCAGAGGGGTCAGCCTGGTCCACCCGGACCTCCGGGTCCCCCCGGGGTCATAGGAGAACCGGGGCCACCAGGATTACCCGGTCCGCCCGGGGTCACCGGTGTCATAAGCGCCGCGACGTACAGCACCGTGCCCAAAATCGCCTTCTACGCGGGACTCAAGAAGCAACACGAGGGTTACGAGGTGCTGAAGTTTGACGATGTGGTCACTAACTTGGGCAATCACTATGACCCATCGAGCGGTAAATTCACCTGCTCCATCCCGGGGATCTACTTTTTCGTGTATCACGTATTAATGAGAGGTGGTGACGGAACCAGCATGTGGGCTGATCTGTGCAAGAATAACCAGGTAGCTCATAAATCCAGCTGTCACAATTTATATATTCATCAATCAACAAATCAATCTATGCAT